TCTAAGATTAGATTTCGTATCTGAGCTTTCCCAAAACTATATTGCCCCAAAGCTGATTAGTCATGTATGGTACAAGCTGATATGTCAAAAGCATTTCTCTGCTTTGTGAGAACTAATTAAATGGAGTATCTTTGCTATGAAGAATGAGAAATTGATTTACTTGCTAATAACAACTTCAGTATTTGTACAGTTTTAGCTCTGTTACTGTTTTGGGGACTTTGTGAAAGGCTATGTGATGGGCACGATTAAGGAATAGTGGTGTCTGATATTGCAACAGCGGTTAAGGTTGAGCAGCTTACAGAAAAAAGTGAATTTGTTTTTTAAAACTCAAACATTTAAAATGAACAAAGCTAATTTAATGTGGGTAATTTTAAAATACTTTTGTGTAATTTTGAGGGTAACATGATGTTAGGGAAGGCAGGATTTCTTAACGACATATTTATCACCTTCAGTCATATTAGTCTAACTTACAAGAGTTTAATTTCAATAATAGTTACTGCAGTTGTTAATCTTCCTTATGAATTGGCTTTGAAACAGTTTATTCAGTAGTCTCTGCAGGGTGATACTAATGCTGAAAAGCTGTAGATGAGGGAGACCTAAACACACAGTAAATCTTGCAGAGTTCATGGTGTCCTACAGTACCCGAGTTTAGTGTATTTGAATTTTGTGCTAGCATGCATCAGTATGTAATGTTACCGCTTTGCAAACCTCTCCCACCCCAAATTCAATATGTACTGTATTAAAAACTGAGAATTGTATGTCATGTACTGAAAGTAAGTCTTCAGCATCTAATCTGTGTGTGGCAGGGGGAGGAGGAGAATATAGGTATTTTATGAAGTGTGTGCAAACTGAAATTAGTAACAGGAAGTCCCATCAGTATTTGTTGCTACGAGACCTATTTGCCATGTTATCTGCATCATAATTTCTGGGTTGACTGACACAGATCGATAATCTTTTCATTTTTCTCTTGAAAACTCTTGACAAGGGGCAACAAACTGTAAGGCTGGAGCTCTAGTTGGCTGTCATGGTTTAACCTCAGCCGGCAACTGAGCACCACCCAGCCGCCC